TTCAAAGAAATGTGAATAAAAAATATAATTCATCAGGTAGCTAAATTTTATTTAAGCCAATGATAAGATAGATAGACTAACTTACAAAAACTACTTTACTTTTATTTAAATAATGAGCATTTGTATTTTTTTTTTAAACACCTTTCCCCTACCCTGTTTTATGGGACAGACTGTACCGTGTATGTACCTAATCTCTCTGAACTATCATATTTTTTGCAGTCGGAACAGGTGTTCTAATATTCATAGACGGGAGTTTAAGTCTGTCTACTTGAAATATGCAGTCTATCGTCTCGTGTGTCCGAGCAGTTGCAGCACGAGTGCGTATGTGCATTATCGCATATATACTACATATTTACTGGCGCCTATGCCCAGCCAGACACCAATACGTCGTGGTCTGGTTTTACAACCTGTTCGACTTGTCAATGATGGTCTTTCGCAATTCCCGCGCGACCGAACAGAATTTTTGTTAACCCAGTGTTGTCGGTCACTAAATCGCATGGAACGGCGTCACTGACTGCTGGAGTTTAGGAACTTGATAAAATTTCTTGCGTTTCTCAATAAACAGTAATTATCGTTCGTTTACATTCTGTCGGTCAGGGTAACCGTCGTTTTAACATCTAGCGGTGATTTTGTTAAGCAATTTTTCAAGGTAAATAATTTTAACCATAAAAATAATTTAATACACACTGAAAAATGTTTTCCAATCTTGCAATCTAAAATCATTTTCCTTAAACGCTTAATTTATTTTGGTCTATCATTGTAGCAAAACAGTGCTAATATTTGCTTCAATATGAAATATTTTGTATTATCGATGAATTTTGACACTACAACCCCCAAACTCGTAAAAATGACGGATTTTTATTTTACAAATACTGAAATCATAAATGTGTTTTTTTTTATCAGAATTTATGTTGATTGTTAATTTATTGTACATTTTACATTACTCTATATCAATATATTATAGAGTTTAGTTTAGTATGTACTCAACGTTGGTAGTTCTAATGTTTAATAGTGCAATTATCTTAAAACAGGATAGACAAAGATTCCATTCGTTGCTAACGCTGGTCACGTGTACGATATTCTATATGAAAGTTCGTGATTTAAGAAACGATAAAACTTTCCGTGGAACATGATACTTTATGAAGTGAGCGTACACGATTTATAACGTATAGTTACTGGCTAATAACTAGTTACGCTCTAGTAACGGTGCACTAATAATGTAAAAAGTAGGAAGATTGCTTTTTTCTTCCTGACGTAGAATTTTAATCGTTTGCTTTTGTGAAAACGAAAGAACCGTCAAGAAAAGCCTAGAATTAGTCTTTCTAACTACAATCTCGACTCTTATACTGCACGCAGCTCGGTGATTTCAATGCTTGTTATGAGAGTGTACAATGCTCCTTTCATTATTATTTCCATTTTACGTTTGTTTTGAAGTTTTTTTCCAATATTTTTACCAAAAACATTTTTAAATGGGAATAGAGATAGCTTGATACGAGTTGTAGTCAGTTTCAGAGATTTATGACTTATTACGGACCGTTGAATTCATTTTTTTTTTTTTTTTTTTTTTTTTAATTTTTAGCCTTCCATGGTTACACTTGTTGAGAATTCCATCATAGTTACACGAAGTCCAATTGACCACGCCGACTTTGAAACGGTTGCTTCTTTCTATTGGATTAAACAAATGATGGAACATGCCTTTAACATTGTAAAACCTGGAACAACCGCGTTTTTGTAAGAATTTGAATATTAACATATTCGAAAACAATCGTGAAAGTGGATGTCCTTAAAAAATCAAGCAACAAGTTTCACTTTTACGCTGTAGCTACGCAGTACAAGAATTCGTAGTACGTTACTATGGCCGATATATGCAATAAACACCCAGTAAAACAACGTAAACATGAAAAATCTTATAGAAACACCGTATGCACCATAATGTGAGGTCGATCGTTATCCATCGTCGACAGGGAGCTCATCTCCACGTCATGGACACTATCCGTATTCCCCATGTTCACTTTCTCCCCAACGCATCCCCTATCGTTCCCCACCGAGCCTAACACACACTTCCGAATCCTTTCCACCTCTCTTCAACGAAATCCTTTCCGACCACAAATTTCACTCGGCTCGCCACGTGCTTTATTTATCCCCGATCGGTGCCAAATGGTGGAATCGCGTTCAGGTTGTCCCAGTTCGCTGCCAGCGGCGTCGTTTATTCGCCTAAATAGATCACGAGGGAAACCACTTGAACGGGGAGGGACACACCGCGCGCACCTTCGTAGCACGTGGATGAACGATTCAAAACACGGCAACGTGAAAATATCGATCATCGACCGGCACCGTAGTTCGGTTGAATCCCACGTAGGCCTTAAGGTCGACGACACTAACAGGCAAAGGATGTATTCATCGATCAAAATGGCGACATACGGTCACGTCAACATCACAAAGTCAACTCGATGAAAAAAGAATCAGTTTCTCCGCTTCGCCAACGGTGGTGGAGGACGGTCAGGGGAACGAACCGAAAAAGAAGACCACGAACCGTTCTATATTGAGACCTCCCCACTCGGGTCACACGGTTCTACGAGACGGAAATTCGCGAACTGGTGTCCACTGACGGCCGAAGACGCCAGACGAAAAATCGGACACGACGGTTTCCCGTCCGTACACACCACCACGGCACGGTTACTCCGGGTAAACTATGCCCGTGGTCCTCTTCACTAGCGGCGTCTATCTACGGCACCCGAGTGCCGCGGCGCAGAAAACCGCGGATCCCTGCCAAATCTTTCGGCAATGTCCCGAGGACGGGGCTCTCTTTATATACCAAACGGCTACGAAAATAGGAAGAGCAAATAGACGTGGCTGCCCCGTCTCACGTGAGCCTCCTGCCGCTGCTCTGATGACTATCTGACCGCTAACCAAGCTTAATGGGGTGATCTGTTTGAACCAAGCGACGCGCGGAACAGATGGACGGTGTGTGTGCGTCGCGGCGTTAACCGTGCGACGTTTGCTCGCCGAATTAGAGGATCCTAATTCGAACGCGTCGTTTCCGAACGAAATGGAATATTTTCGTCTCGCACGATACGGTTTTGTTTCTGTTTTGGGCCTCTCGTCGGTGATCTTGCCCTCTGTTGGTGGAGCGTTCATTGGTGTAAACGGTATCAGGGAATAGTACCGGTTGGAGTTTCACGGTTTTACTCGACCGTCATTTTGGTACGGGAAGAGACAGCTGAAGGTGCGTCTACGCTTGAAAGGAACTTCGAACTGAATCTTGGGAGGAACTGGAATCGAAGGAGAACGAAAGGAGATATTTTTGGACCTGGTAATTCAGCCATTTTTCGAATGTCAATACCGATGTGTAACCACAAATACAGACGAACAGAAACAATCTGACATCGGTTGCTTCGCGAGAAATACGCACGGAGGTGTAATTTGCATTGGTAAATAAAAAGAAAAATAAAAGATTATTGTCCGCAGGTAACAGAATAAGCAAACGTTATTTTGAAATAAGTTTTATCAGTAAAATTAACTGGAATCTTGTACTTTTGAAATTGATCAATTTTGGGATCACATTTTCATTAGATGCCTTCAGCGGCAAAATACAAGCCGTAGAATAATTTTAACGTGGATCTCAGAAGGTTCGTCAATCCTAATACGCCCAACACTTCCTTTTTTCTTCATACCATTATTTAATATTCTTCATAATATTTCATCTCAATGTTGCATGTGCTTTTTAGTCATTTTTAGTATGCGGTGCCACCTATTATTCAACTGTGCAACTCGAAGAACAATAAAACAGGCGCCTGTTAGGTCTCCTTATGTCAAGAGGGTGGGCATATTTGGATTAATCTAAATTCACTTTGATTTTAAAACGCCTTAATCCTGAATGAATTAAAGAAAGAAAAAACCGTTTTCCTGCTCATTAAGGAAAATAAAGTATGTCGATTAAAGTTGGTGTACCAGCGACAAACAATTTGCTTTAAGATAATATACTAATGAACATACGTGGAAATTCGAACCTGTCTATTTCGGAGACCGAGTTCTTAAGAAGTTCCATCCAAGATTTGGTTTGAGAACTGATTCAAGTGGAGACGTGCCCTAAGAGGTCGCAGATAGAAATTGTAGGCGGAATTAGTGCCACGTATAGGTAATATACGACACGAGGAGCACAACTAATCAACGATTCATGATTGTAGCCAGTCTTTCACGATTTATTTCACAGAGACAATTAATTGGCAGAGACGCGCGACGGTATTTTGACGCGTTTGTTGTCCGGCGTCAGACATCGTGCTTTAGCCTACTCACGTTCTATTTCGAGTCGGACACACTATAGAAACGTTCTAAGTATAACTGGTTCCGTAAAACCGCCCCGTTCGGTTGCATATTTTTTATCGGACGGAAGAATGTAACGTGTACAGATTCTGTGCCCCG